AGAGAAAAAAAAAAAAAAAAAAAAAAAAAGAAAAAGTAATGAAGACAACCTTCTTATGGGTGTCAACTGGGTAACATTCTTAGGAATAGTGAGGACTCTACATCATTTGATGTTAGGCTCCTGAGTAAAAATTGAACAATCAACCCCACTGTCTTACTCAGTCTGTACAATACTAAGATTTTGCTGGGCCTTGAGGATAACTGGTTTTTCCTTTATTAAGTACCTTTTTTATATTATCTAACCAAATTTGTGACTTTATTTTTAACAGAAGATAGAAATTCATGGTTCCTCTTTTTCTCTTTCAAAATAATGTTGTGTGGAATATTTTTCTGAACTGTTAGCCTACTTCCTTTCATTTCCATCTTTCTTCACTTCCCAAATGGAAAGCAGTATGCTAACTTTTATAAAAAGATTGCTAATGGTGCCAAGCTATCCTTTTTTAGGTAAGAAGACAATTGATTTCCAGAGTTAGATGGGATATAAGGGCTAATTGTGGCCTAAGTCTTCATTTTACAGAGGCCAGCAAATTAAGTATTTAACATCAGGAATCCAGAGACAGGTCTGGGACCTCAACATAGAACATATCCTGTGTTCTTTCTACCCTAACATTTAAAAAAACTTATGCTATTGATGGAAATGAAAAAATATGATAGCTCCAGGAAAGGATGTGTCATAATAAATGGAAAGAAATTCCAGTGTTTTTAAGGATTTGCCAGGTAATACATACAAGTGGTTTTTTATATAACTTGTCTCATTTAACCCCATGAAAATTTTTATTACCTTTACATTTACAAGCAGGGAACTTGAAACTCACAGAATTTAGGTAGCAGCCAGTAGGTGCTTGGCCAGGATTTGAACCTGGGTTTTTCTTTCCCCAAAGTCTTGGTTCTGGGACTTGGCCTCCTGTTTTCCTTTAAAATAGACTTGTATATATTCAAATAACAGTAAAATGCTTAATTTGAATTTATAAAATTCTTACTGTTTGTATTTAGGACAAGCTGTCAACTGTCACAGGCATTATGTGAAAAGCTGTCCAAATTCCATGACAGAAAAGCTGAGTTCACTGGATCCAGGTGCTGCTACCATGACCCGCAGTGCTGGGAGTGGTCATCTCTCCACAAAGATTTTTTAGATTATTTCTCTGATCAGACACTCCACTGCCCACAGAAGCATCAGAGTACCTTGTAGTTTAGTTTCCTCCTGCTGTGGGGAGTAGAGCACTGGTTCTGGAGTCCCAGGATTAGCTCAAATTCTGTCTCTTCCAGTGGGACCTTGGTCTGGGTCCTTGGCTTTCCAAGTATGGCATGGGAATATAACCAATCTCATGGGACTCTTGTGAGGTATAAGTGACAAAATGCTTGAAAGTGTGGCACATGGTAGGTATTCTGTAAACATAAATGTATTTTATACTGTAAAGTACTGTGTAAGTGTAAGGAAGCTTTATTTAACTGTAATATAATAATTACTATACTGCTATATGTAGAATGGAAAAAATTCTCCATTATATTTCATACTTTTGTCTATTATTTTTTTTCCCTATCAGAGACCAGCAGAAATAGTTGATGAGGAAGAAGATGGAGAGAAAGCAGACATGGATGCAGAGCAGAAAGAAGACCCTTTGAGGGTGAATGGTGAAGCTGCGGATGAAGGAGGCAGGGATGCTCCTGATACCCCTGAGCACAGCGAGGAGGCGGCCAGTCCTGCCCGTGTAAATGGAGGAACTGATGAAGAAAATGGGGAGGAGCTAGGCCAGGTTAAAAATGAGCTTCAGCCACCAGTGGATGAGGAACAAAAGTCTCCAGGAGCTGGCAGTGGACAGGATGAGGTATTTCTATTACTTTTGCTATTTGTGAAGAATATATGTGTGAACCAAAACCACTTATGCCACAGCAGGAAAGATCCAATACTGCCTAATCAACTTCAATTTCTACTTATTTCAATCAGTTAACAAGTATGACTGTCAACCTAGCTGACAGCCCATCTGTCTGTCGTTCTGCCATCCACCCACCCATCCATTCATCTTCTACCTTATTGTAGAAAAATTTTACAGAATTCTTTAAGAACATATACAATAAAAGAGAGAGATACAACAATACAGACAAGTTAAAATCAGGGAAGATCAAACCAGAAAAGGATATGAAGAACAGTGAGACCTAGACATGATATAAAGAATATCTTCTCCATTATCAGTGACTTCTTTACTCTCTAGAAGAACTGTCTAGTTTGTTTAGCCCCCTTTAAATGGATTTATTGGATCAAGCCCTGAGCACACCAGGTACTGTTGTATTTAGCAAAATACAAGAGAGAACAAACTTAACAATAGCAAAGTGCAAAATGTTCTTGAGGCCAGGTTTTGGTAACCAGTAAAAAGTTACTTGTAATCCACTGTAGAACTTGTACAAAACATTCTTTACATCTAAATGAAATTTCTCAGAAGGTCTCTCATTTCATCTTTATTCAAATTGACATAATAACAGTCGAATTCTGTAACAAATTCCTCATATGCAGTTCTTCATGGTCCTCAGTGTCATTTATATGGCCACTCCAAAGTAAATGTCATAAAATTCTTTGTTATAGTAGCCTTTGATGAAAGTTTATGAAATAATAGTGGGACAGATAGTAAGATCCTTGTGTGCTTTTTTTCTGATGGTTTAATGTAATTCAACATATGACTTAGGGAGATGTATAGAAATGAATCTATTGCCTTCCATCACTGTAACTTTTGAAAAAAATTCTGTGATTTGCAATAACATGGATAAGGACATTACATTAAGAGTAACAAGCCAAATGCAGAAAAACGAACACTTCCTGATTCTACTTACATGTGTAATCTAAGAAAGTTGAAACTCCCAGAAGCAGAAAGTAGACTAGTGGTTACCAGGGCCCAGGGATGGGGATTAGAGAGATGTTGGTCAAAAGATACACCATGGTGACTGTAGCTAATGACAGTGGGTTGTATAATTGAAAGTCAGGAGATTCTGTGCCCTCCCTTGGGAAGATGGTAATGTGTGAGGTAGTGCATATGTTAACTCAATTTGCCATTCCACCACACACACATATTTCAAAGCATCATATTCCACACCACAAATATATACAATTTTATTTGCCAATTAAAAGATTAATTTTAAAAATAAAGGAGAAAATAGGCTTTTGATAGGAATTGGGCCTCAGTCAAAATCAAGGTTGTCTGATTTGAGAAGGCTTGAGGTACAGGCGTCTATGGCCTATAATGAAGAATACAAATGGGAGAATACAAATTCTTGGGTATTTACATGCACAAGTGCCTGATAAGTGACTAGTTAGGGATTGTAGGGACAATACAAATGCCTGAGCAAAGAAGTTACTGACACAGAGATTTAATATTACTTGACTCATCTCTCCTTTGCAGTGATGATCTGTTTTGTCTCTGTTCCCTAAATGTACCAGTATAGATATGTTTTAAGCATATCAAATATATGAAAATGTACATTTGTGTGAATTATAAATTAATGGTTAACTTTTGCAAAAGGATTGTGGTCCATGAGACAGTTCTTATGCAAAGTGAGAAATGATTATAGAAACAGTAGGTAACACAAGGCAAATACACAACAACTGACATTTATTGAGGTTGTCAGCTTGTGTTATAGTCAGTATACCACTTGAGGTGCTTCCCAAGACAATACGAAGTAGGACATAACTCCAGGAGTATGGATATTGATTGATAGACAGGTTTTTTTTTTTTTTTCTTTTCTTTGGAACATAAGTCATGGAATCATGATTATGGATTTAGGGGAGCTGGAGCTGCTCCTGTCCCCTCGATTGGGCCTTTTGGACCAGTGGAGTATCCAGGATTGCAGGGAGCAGAATTTAAGAACCATCTAATTCCATCCTCGTCAGTTTTCAACCTAATGGGAAAAGACAAATTATAAATGAGACTCTAGAACTAACAAGATATGAAACGTGCAAGTGGCAGAACAAATGTTGCAGTGGGAGAAGAGCTGCCTCTGCGTTTCGATGATCTGTCTTGCTCTTACCAGCACTTGGGTGCACTTGGGTACCACATTCACCACAAGAGAACCAGGAGGGACAGCAACAGGCTGGGCGAAGGAGGCATGAGGGGGAGCGCCTGCGTTTTTCTTCCTTTATCTCTGAAATGCGCCACAGAAAAGTACAAATGTGCTTTTGAAAAAGAAGAGCTCAAGGGGAAGTAAAGAAAAAATTGAGAAAAATAAAGCCTGCAGCAAAAAAAATGAATCAGTTTTGAAAACACATAGTGGATTATTGTCCCAGAAAAGGCTTCTGTACAAATAAAGGGTCAGGAATGGCAGGTCCACTAGGTAGATGGAATCACAAATGGACCCACGGTTCTGCTTCTAGTTGAATGCTTATATGATTAAATAGAATACTCAGTAATTCTTTTTTTGTAAATTTTGTTACCCTTGTAACCCAAAGAAGCTAAGCATCTTTATTTTGCTCTGTTTTCCTCCAGGCTGATTTAGACCCTCAAGGACCACCAAGACCAGAAGTAAAAATCACAAGTCCTCAAGAAAATGAAAACAATGAACAAAATAAGGACTACGCTGTTGTGGCATAGATGATTTTTAAAAAGCTAGTAAATGGATATAAGAAAATGAAAGGCTGTAATACTTGAACAATAAGCGCAGTCATTGCTGAACGTAACATGACAACAGGATTGAATTCTACTTGTTGAATTTACAAATAGAAGCCTGAGGGAAAGACTAGATAACTTTTAGCAGCTACTAAAGGAGAATGACTTATTTTTGTGGCATGTATTTTTGAAAGTTGAAGAATTAAGTAAAAAGGACAGAGGAGGACTTGCCCTGGAAGACAATTGGCCATTTATGCTTTTAAGCATAAAAAATAGGATCAGTCCTAGTGCATACTTTATTATAAATTTAGAAGTAAGATTATTCAATGGCAGTTCATTGTAAAGCATTTATCTGAAATAGCGTAGAATTTTAAAGAATTGGTGATAGGCTAACATGTATTATTTCCTTAAAGCAATAAACTTGAATGAACAAATTGCAGCGGTTTAGCTTTAGAGATAATTTGGAGATAGCAATAGATCGAAATGTTTCCATAACTTTGTCCACATTCTTTTCCTCTTTTCTCTTTAGCCAAAATCCACTTTACATGAGCTAGCAAGACAATGTAGTGTTCACGTTGGCTACAGGAAATATTTCTGCAGAGGACTAGTGATTAACGTCATGCCTTCCCTGATGCGCTTTTACACTCTGCCTCGTGACTGCAAGAGGGCACACTCAGGAAGTGGGGATGAAGGAACTCCTGGTCATGTTACTGGCTGGATGGTTTGCAAATTCTAGAAATCCTATGGATTTTCATAGATCCAGTCTACTTGTACCAATAATTTTAAAAAGAGAAGCCTATGGGAAAGAATAGATAACTATTCAACTAGATATCTTTTTCTTTTCCCTCATGTTATTGTAATAGAAAATTTGATATTAGTTATTCCAGAGATTGAATTCTTGTTTTTTGTTTTTTTAAACAGAGAAAAGACAATGTAATAGGAAGGGGAAAAGGGCAGTAAGAGGAGTTTGTGACTGTCCAATTTCACTTGCTTTTTGTTCTATTTCTATGAGGGCTATCCTGTGATATTTTTGACTCTGGAGATGTCAGCACACATTTTCATAGCTGATTATATTTAGTCTTTCCAGCAGATTCCTTCTTATATAATTTAAAGCCAGATGATAGAAATTGGTGAAAAAAAATTAAAAATTGGTGTAATGAAACCATTTCCTGATTGCCACTTTGTAGACTGGTTAATAATTTACTTTTGCCTTGTGAGGTATATATGGGAAAAATGTAATTGCATTAGTTTGGTGATTATTAATAGATACTGTGTCTTTCTTGCTTGAATACAGAAATAATATATTTTTCTCACATTAAAGAATATATTTTTAATTATGTAGAAGCTGTATGAAAATTTTAACTTTTAGTGCTTGTATAAGACTATTAATCATAAATTTAAAGGACTTTTTCTCTTTCACAGCCAGCTTTTGAAATCAGAATAGTTGGTGGTTATATAAAGCACTTAACAATACTATAGAAAATAGATGTATTTTTCCTAGCAGCTATTTTAATATTTTACACAAATAGGAAGTATGAATAGAGATCATAATGTAACAGTATTTGAAAGAGCGTAATGATTTATTAATCTAGGAAATCAATTGTAAATGAGCATTATATTTTTGGTGGAAAATCTAGACTCTACTTTCTGCCAGCAGGCTTACATTTTCAAGTGGACAATAGGAAGTACTGTGTACAACAAGCAGCCATCTTGTGTGGTGCAAGAAATAGGCCAGCTGGGCTTTTAATGTTAAATTCCAGTGCTACTATTAGTCTGTGGTCAGTGATTTTGAATAATTTATAAAAGTAAGTGGTTAACTATAAGGAATTTTAGCTGTCTCCAGGTGATTCTTTTTTCTTTCTTTAATGGAGAATTTCTCACTCTTTCTCTTTTTTTCTTTCATAATTTTTCCTTTTTCCTTCTTGTTCTTTTCTTCATTACAATATGAATCTTAGGTTGTAAAGAGCTCCTGGTGAGTCACTTTAATGAAGCACAACATGGATATCATACAGGAAAATAAAGTTTGAATTTGATTATACTTCAAGAAGTTTATAGGTCACAATAATTACATCAAAAATTTTAAATGGTGATGTGTTCTTTTCTTTTTTGTACATACCTGTTGATGGAAAGAAATTGTGACCTACCATGAGGGAAAGAAAAACAATTTACCAGTTTAACACATCAGCAAAACTGTAAATAAATGACATAGGTAATCCAAGCAAGCAAGAAATCATGTACAGAGAATTAAAATTGTGGACATCACTTTGGAGATGACTTTAACATAAATGATGAAAGCCAGTTCATCCCCCAGTGTGGTAGTTCTCTCTGTGGGATGGCGGTCTCTATGGCAGGCTAGCTGACAGATTTGGGAACGATTTATATGAGCTAATGGAAGAGATCTTGGTTAGACTTCATGTACTGTTTTGTATAGAGAAGGTGCTATGTACAACTTATGTCGCTTTCACGTAATAACCAAATATAATGCTTTGAGACATTAGTTTTTGTGATGCTGTACATGTAGGTTTCCTAGTTTTAATTTTGTGTAACTACTTTATTAAATTTATTTGGATTTTTAAGGCACTTGTAATCAACTGATTTGTTAGCAGAATTGGAACATTAGGAGTTTTGCAGAGCAAATAAAAGACTATAACTAAAGTCATTTTTAGGCTGCAAATATTTCATTTCAGTTTGCTGGCTTAGCTTCTGTGAAAATAGCTATCGAATGCCCATTGACTTCTGGGTATACAGTATAGTACTATGACCAAGGAAAACTTTTACACATTGTTTTTCTCTGTGTTCATAGAATGATTTTTCATTTAAGATTTTTTCCTTAGAACTTTTTGGGACTATGATAAAGCCAGGCTCATAGGTAAGATATGATCTTTCCCTACCTCTTGCTTTATTCTGAAGGTGATTAGTCTTGCCATAGTGGATAAAGGTAAGACATTCCTTATACATGGCTCAGATCAGTCAGGTGTCAGTCAGTTGGGAAGCTGGATCAATTAACATGGAGTTATTAATGCTAACACTTGCAGTGTATAATTCATCAACTAGCATCTCACAGTTTTCATTGGACGACCTGCTTATATACAAAGGATGAGATCATTCACTTAGAAAAATAACTTGAGTATTTGAAATTGAGGCTGCACAACAACAGGAAGGCTCTCTTTTTCTATTAAACAACTCCCCTGAAGAATTAGTTTCACATTTTGTTTGCTCAACAGGTAGCAAAACCAAAGTTAAATATGTAGATTAATTGCTCAACAGAAAGCATCACATCTGAGCCATTGCCAAGCTGAACGGAAATACAGTACATAGATGAATATCCAGTACTTACATGGATGTACTCAGGCACTTTAAACATTAAAAAGGCCTCTTTAGACACAGCGTTATTAATAGAATACAGCTCTTTGGGTTGAAGCTGAAAGAAGCAATGTATAAAAACATGCGGCAAAATGCTAAGAAATGACATGTGTTATGGTGCTTTAAATATTGGTTCTAGAAGACCTTAAGAGATGTAATTATTTTTCTCAAAATAAGAAAGTTATCAGCATTTTAGTGAGGAAATGCATTTTAGGGAGGAATGTTAGAACACTTTTAAAGTCTCATTAAAAATTAGACATACCTACCTTGTTTGAGGTGATTTCAGAGCAATTTCTGGCATCTACAGTACTGCACACTTTAGATGCAGAATATTTCATACCAACACAGGTCCTGTCAAAAGGTTAATCACTTGGTGAATGTGAGTGGGCAGAATTTTCTTGAATATACCTGGGACTCCTCTTGGTCCTAGGTAGCCACAAATAGATTGAGTTGAGCCATTTTTTTATATAACAGTGCAGGAGCATTTTACCTTTCTTGTATGAACGCAGTGTCTTGGATTGGGATCATTTTTTTAAAGTTAGCTTGATTTTCAAAGGCAATGAGCGCATGCAGTTCTTTGTTATTGAATAGAGTTTTTACAAATACTGAAGATTTTTGCTTTAAAAATTCTTTGTGTGGATGGGTCTGCAGTTTATTCTTCCCACATGAAACTTTTATAGTTCTTCTTGTGAAGTTTGAGTGACAGATGGAGAATGAAAGAGGGTCCCTATGTGTTGATGAGGAAAAAATAATATTGCTTTTGATGAGGCATAACATCTGGAGGAGAAGGGGGATTAGGAAAGAATTAAAAAATGTCTGGATAACAATAAAGAATTTATGAAATCAGGAGGTAACTAATGGAACTCCATTGACTTAAACCAACAGTGATTTAGCTTTAATCTGTGAATGGGACTAAATGAATTCTCTGCAGTTTCATCAGTTGGAACCATACAGATTAATTGAGTGTTTCAGTTATTGCTACAAATGTAATGACCTATGGGGAAAGGGAGGGACTGTAGTTGATTTTAGAAGTCTGGAGAAAGCCTATTTTGTTGTTCTGCTTCATTGTTTGCCTTGTGTCTTAAATCTTCAATATGTGCAGTAATACTGTGTGATTATTGATGTTATAAGTGAAGATTAAGTTGAGCTCATTGTTTTTATATGATTTGTTATGTTTAGAATGTCTGCTCATAAAGAAAATTGTGTTTTTAGCAAATTATGAGCATTTAGGTTTTACTTCTGTATTAGTGCATACTCTAAAATGCCAAAGTTTACTGTATCTTGTGAGTAAATAGATCTGCATTTTGTGTAATTAAATTGTACTTGGATGGTTTATGGTTTGCTTATGATGCTGTGTTGCTAATATTTCACGTATTCATACTTTTTATGGCACTTCTCATGGACACAGTAGAAACACTTGACTTATACAGAAATTTAGTGAAAGATACTTCTGTTTCTATTTAGCAGAAATTAAGCTTCATTATGCATTTTTTAGTTTTATGTGCATGTTGTTTCTTTGATAAAGTGCAGGTATATTTAAACATTATTTTCTTTTATGAAATATTCTCATAGAAGCACAGGTCAAACTTTTTAAAATAAATAAAGGTATCTTTAAAAACAAACACTAGATCATGTATCCATTACACTCATTTTGTATACATACATCCCTGGGAATAAATTCAAAATTTTACAAAGGATTTGGCTAAAATTCTGCTTCAGTTTGTAAGATCCTCACCTCTTTCATTCCACTGAGTTAAATGGTTTTGTTTTCCACATTTGAGAAATAAAACCAGTTAAGCACAAAATATACATGCTCTGAATCCTGTAACCATGAGGAGTTTATGAGTGGGTCTCTTGTGCACATGACCAGCTTATCTCTTTCATTCCCAAAGAATAAAAACCAAACCTCAGCAAATAAAAAGGCATCTCAGTTGCCAGAGTCCAACCTCTTTAGATTACACTGTTAATTGACATTAGAAACTTTCCATAACCAGCAGTGACTGTAATTTCTATAAAGTGTTGTAAAATTGGAGCATTCATCTGTTTTTTAATATTTATTTATGAAAATAAACATTCGGTTTTCCTGCAGATTTCTAAGCGTTTCCCCCCACCATGGGACTTTAAATCTATTTAGTCTATTAAATTGTCATATAGTCTCTGAAAGGCTCTCACAGTCAAATGCAGTCTTCCATTAAAAGATGAATGGCATGTTGCTCTCCACTGATTTAACAAACTCGTTGGTTTCATAGTAACAAAAATGACATAAAAATTAAACCCACACCAAGTTTAAAGCCGAGCAAGGCAAGTGGCCTTGGCGCCACAGCTATTCTCTTTGGCTGTGGATAGCTGTTAGGGTTGTGCAGGTTCTCCAGATTCCCTGACTACCAGCTCACTGGCTTCTCTTTGAATCCTTGAAATACCCCTGAGCAATCTTGTTACTGGGGAGTCAGGTCTTAACACCATAAGGAACCTGGCAGTATACTAAGATTCTTTGTGTTTTTGATGAAAGATTTCAGACAGGACATGTAGGCTGTCATGTAAAGTTTAGACAGAATCCATTGCAAAATGGTAGATTCTCAGAGAAAAGGGAAGAGACAGACAGAGGAGACAGCAGAGAAAGGAGAGGGATAAGGGGAGAGGGGGGGGAGAGAAAACATCTCCAAGCATGAAGGAGGGAAAGCAGGAAGATGGCAGCTACACTTGACTGAGGTCTCAGGTTACAGTTATCTGATTAACAGGATCTTTGAAGGAATATCCTTTCCCTCAAGGTCATTGTTCTTATACAAGGAAAATGCTCTGTGTTTACCACTTGAAAGAGAAGTAGGTCACTGTTGACTCCTTAGCTGGAATGCTTCCATTCAGTTTTCAGACCTTGAGATTTTTCTAACCCCCTACCTGAACTTTGTATGTGCCAAGGGTCTTACCAGCCCACTCAGAGAATATGATGTACTCTTGAGCTACAGTTTGAAACTGCAAGTGTGAGTAGCTTTTATCTATCACTAATGATTCAAAAAGCAAAAGAAAAAGGAAAAAATATCCCATCCTCACTTTTCAAGTAGCCTGCCTTCACCTCCTCCGGGTCTATTATTAATCATTGTCTCATGACTAACAATCTGCTATCAGGAAAGAAAGTGGTTTCTAAGGATCCTCCTGCCTTGGGCTGAGACCTGATTTAGATTAGAACTTTTTCTTTCCTTCCTAAATTTCTTAGATGATGAAGGCCCCTGAGGGAACCCTGACCATCTGAAAAGAACAAGGAAGACATTTTCAAGTTATCAACTTTCCCAAGTAACCTCTAAGGAAAATGTCAGTCAACATCATAATCATCACAGTTCTCCAAACTCTAGGAGTAACTTTTCTGTACGCAAAGAGGTGCCAAACTCACACTCAATGTGGATGTTTTTGTGACACTGCCCATGTTCTTGCTTGAAGGCGTACATCTCTCTGTGTCTTTACAACGAACTCTCTCTGTCCTTCTGCATGGCAGTCTCTGCATCTTGCCTGAAATCTTTCATCACAGGCAGAAAGAACTGAGCATCAGGGAGCCAGGGGCTGGATCCCTGGAATATCACCACCTGGGTCCTGGTAATACAAAGGCATAAGAGAAATAAAGATAAAGATGTTCAGAGGAAGGAGAGGGATTTTTTCCCATTTGAGAAATCAGTCAAAGCTTGGTGGGCTAGGGAGCCTCTGAATGGAGACTAGACATCCACATGGGATTTAGATATTTGCTTTCACTCTGTGATAGATAGCTCCTTCCTGAGAACACCCAGGCCACACAGATGCCATGAACAGACAGTGGGAATTTGACTTCCTACAAGATTTCTGAGCCAAAATCCCTGTCTACGGGCCACCCAGGGCCTCCATGGCTCCTGCAGTCTTCTCTACTTTCTTCCTTTTTCATCTTGGGTCACCACCACTGTCCCTAGTCCTTCAGACACACACTTCAACATCAGGCAGACCTGGTTGGACTTGGAGCATTGACACTGTGTAACTTCAGCACCATTTTCAACCTCTCTGAATCTCAGTTTTCTTCCTCATGCAAAGGAAAATAATAGGAATTTATTATTTTGTTGATATGTAAGGATTTAAAGACAGAATATGTACATACCACTCAGCTCAAAGTACTTAACAGGGAGATAATTATTAGCCTTCCTTTTGGGTTTTGGCTTTCCTAGCACCCTGTCCCTTTATCTCTTCTACTACTCACTTTTGAGCCAGAATTGATTCTTTTTTTGCGCTTTTCTGTTATTGGCAGAAAGTCTCCCCAAAACTGTTTTTAGTCTTGTGGTGTTTGTATGCACCTGAACCTGTTAGGATCATAGCTTTTCCTTGTTATTAAAGCTGCTGATTAGTTTTCTGGGTTTCCCAGACACAGAGAGGCAGGATATTGCTGACAATAATGAGAAAGAGAGAGAGAGAAAGAGAGAAAGAGAGAGAGAGCATGTGTGTGCATGTGCATGTGCGTGTTCATGTGTGTGTGTGCATGTGTGCGAGGGTGAGATGGATCAGGCCATTCTATTTGCTCTTTAATCATCTTAGCACCCATTTTTTAAAGCTCTACAACACTGAACATACAATCTACTTCCCTGTGAAGCTGGGGCTTGGTCGGCAACCTTAAGCCTTCATCATTATGGATCCCAATGTATGTGGCCTGCGTGGAGGAGACATGGAGAAGGCAGATGCTCCTTTGGGAAATTTCTGACTTATAAATCCCATCATCCATGCATCAGTGTTGGGCTTCCTGTGAAATACCAGTGGCAGCCAGGTGCCTGTTTCAGTATCACATCAGCATGAAGTTTTAAAAACTTGTCCTCTTTGTCATTAAGGAAATATTTATTGGATCACTACCATGTAGTACATGGTGCCTCCAGCTGCCAGCGAGTAAGCCAGAGCCTGCTGTGCTCTTCACCTCTCAACCGTGCTGCTCCTGGACACTGGGGACCCACACAAAGCAAGGGAGTCACCACAGCTGCCCCCATGGGAAGACCATGTCCCCCTTTGCATTTCTGACAGGCACTCTCCTGTTATAAACTGTGGAGGTGATTTGGGTTGCTCAGATGATGAAGTGCAGCTTTCCTCTTCCATTTCTAGGCGTCACACTTGCAAAGCTACTGAGATAATTTCAAGCTCCATGTTTGTTATGTACAATTTCCACAGATTTCCTATTATGGTTTGTGTCTTGATGTCCCCCAAAAGTCTCATGCAGTTTTAGGCTTTTGCAGAGGGGGCTGAATCTAGAGTGTGTGATGCTGGGATGAAGGGTGTGTGATTACTAAAACAGTCCGCTGAGTGATTTGGCACTGCCCTAATTCTAGCAGTCTAGGTACAATATATAAGGGACAGAAAGAGTCTTGAATCTTCCTGCCTATTGCTTTTGCTGTTTTCTGTCACTACGAGCCATTGCCTCTCTGCCATATGCCACTCTGCCTTAGAGCCAGCTGATTATGGACTGAAACCTCCACAAACTGTGAGCTAAATAAGATTGGGTGTTGGGTATTTTGTCTCAGCAATAAGAGAAAAGTAAGACACATAGGAAGAATGTCTGATGGCCACGGAAGTTGCTTTCCTCTCTTTGGCTGGATAACGTCACCCTCAAGCTAATTTTCTCCTGAGAACTCAATTTTTGAAATTATTATGATAAACAGGAAGCTTGAGATGATGGTGGAAATGTGTTTAAAAACTTCAGCCTATACTAATGTATTAAAAACGTAGTTCTCCTTTGTTATTTTCTCCCCTCATTTTTGTTCTCATCAGTACCCATTACCTTTGTTAAACATGAATCTCTGCCTGGCACTTTGAGTGAGTTATTGGGCCCGTTCCCCAAGGAGCTTTTAACAATAATAGCAACCAGTTGTAAGAATGACAAATAGTTTCAAGAATACAAAATGTGTCAGTGTGATTCTTTAACTATCTGATAGACATTCTTTCAAACCCCTTGTGTATATTTTAGAAAAATTCTCACAAAAGCCCTTAGAGGAAGGTACTATTATTTCTTCCATCTATTCAGGATGTGTGTAAGACGTGGAGTAAGAAATTTGCTTGAAGTCACACAACTAGTAAATGAGAGCCTGGTTTATCCTTGTCAGCTTGCATTACTAACCACCATGTTCTACTGCTTCTCATCTAACCAGAAGATCATAGGAAGAATGGAATGTGTGCACTCACAGACCAGAATTGTGAACATGAGTTTATTATTGCACACATGGCTGGGTGGGTGGGAGAAAGAAACGTGTACATGGAAGGGAGATTTCTGTATTTTTATAAGAAAGAGAGCCTCCACTGAGGAGCCTGTAAATTTCAACTTGAATGAGTGGTGAGAAAGAGGCAGTGGAAGTTCTATTTTAGAAATGGAACCTGTGTAATGGCCACATGGAGAAGGAAGTGACTGAGCTTGTGGTTGGTGGGCTCCAGCAATCAGTCTGCAGGAAGCAAGTGTGGCCAGGGCATCACAGAGACTTGGCACATGGAACCAGACTCCCTGACTCCCTTGTCCGCTTCACGGAATAGGAAGAAGGAGCAGGACACGGTGCTGGTTGATGGGCCTCACGTGGCACATCAGTAGCCTTCTGCATGTTGCAAGGGGCAGGTGAGTCTCAGTCAACCACCAGGCTTGTTGATGCTCTTTATCCTTACATGGGAGCCAAATGATCTGCTGATGCAGCTGTTGGTCTAGGAAGTCAATTAAGTGAGAT